GGGGCGGGGACAGGCCCGGGGCGGGCGGGGCGCGGCGTCTGCGGGCGCCCGAGCCGGTTCTCGCCGGGGACATCCGGGCTGCAGGGGCGCAGGTCGCCGAGCGCGGCTGTCCCCGGGGCCACACCGGTTAGACCAGTGTGACCTGGAAGAGGAGTTCCTCCCAGTTGCGACCGGCGTCTTTGTTCCGGGGGGCGGGGGGAGGAGAAGTAACAGGCGGTTCAACGCGACCAGGTGCCATTTGACAGGTTTCCAGATACGAGATTGGAGCCTCTTCTCCAGCCCCTGCCTCCCGCACCTGCGGCACCCTGTTTGGACTCTTCTTTCTCAGGCACATTTTCTCGAGATTTAAAACCCACCGAAGGAAAGATAAACTGAGGTCAAACCCGGTCCCTTCGGGGCCGGGCAGTGGGATTAAGTTATTTCCTTTTGTCATTTCTGATTTCTGTAATGATGACATTCAAAACCTTGAGGTTTCCCAGTAGATAGTTAAGCTGAAAGCGACATTGTGCTTGTTCTCAGAGACCAAGACTTTGTGTCTCCTGTGTCGGGACGTTTGGCAAAGTCACAGGCAAAACCCACAAACAAACGAAGCGGAGCACAGCAGACCGCCGGCGGGGACGGGGCCGGGCACCCCCTGGGAGGGGCCAGGACACGGTCTCTGGAGACCTGCCTGCCGACCCCACCCCAAGCAAGTGCCGCGAAAAGTCCCCCTCCCCAAAAGGCGGGCCCTGGCTGCTGGCGGATGCCTCTGCGCCCCTGTCACCGGGAGGACAGAGCGTAATTGCTGGCAGAAATCTTTGAAGTCTTCAGTGCAAAGGTGGAGTCAATCAGCGGGAACCTGTTCATTTAGGGACTCGGATGTCACAGGGATGACCTTCAAAGAGAAGTAAAACCGAACAGGTACGTCACCTGCACCTGCGTCTGAGCCACAAGGCACTGCCACACCCCCTTCCCAAGGCTGCCGCGCCTGCAAAACCAAGGCTGCTCAAAAAGAATATTTATCGCCTTGGTTTCCTGCTTGCTCTTAAAGAGCAGGCCTGGCGTCAGACATCTGGGTGGGGCGATACACTCTGCAGTCAGTATTTACGAGGCTGTTGAGTAGCACAGGTCGCTCATCCGCCCACCGTGCGCCACACGTGGTCTAGGCACCTCTGCTGTTCCCCGGGGTTCCACGCCAGCAGCCCGTGGAAACTTCAGAGTGTGTATACTCCTGGAAATTGATTGCAATTATTTTCTGCACATTTGTGTGGTTTTGGAGAGTTATAGAGTGCGTGGAATTCCCAGAGTTATTTGATTCATTTAAGAGGGACCGTCTCTGGCATCTGCAGGTACCTCTGAGGCAGCCCGCACAGGCGTGTGAGCCCACGGCTGCAGGTGACCACGTGTCAGCATGGCCTAGGTGGATGGAGCCGGAAAGGCCTCCTGGCCTCCTTTGGGCCTGGACCTCACTCCCCTTCCCCATGTTCCCAAATTCACCCCTTCTATTGAGTTAGTTTCCCAGTAAATAACAATGTCTCCCATTGGGTAGAGACTTGGTTTAATAAAACCCTTCCTGTGCAGGCACCATTTTGATTTCGATAACGGGGCACACAGAAGGCAGACATGGGAGCGAGGGGGGTGTCCAACTCCAAATGTTCTACCAGTGCAGAAAATTTGCTCTAAAGCAGACATGGACAATTAGTAAGAAACAACTTTTTTTTTTTTTTTTGAGACAGAGTCCTACTCTGTTGCCCAGGCTAGAGTGAGTGCCGTGGCGTCAGCCTAGCTCACAGCAACCTCAAACTCCTGGGCTCATGTGATCCTTCTGCCTCAGCCTCCCAAGTAGCTGGGACTACAGGCATGTGCCACCATGCCCGGCTAATTTTTTCTATATATATTTTCAGTTGTCCAGCTAATTTCTTTCTATTTTTAGTGGAGACTATTTTTAGTGGGGTCTCGCTCTTGCTCAGGCTGGTCTCGAACTCTTGAGCTCAAGAGATCCTCCTGCCT